AAGTTTAATTTCTAAAAATAAAGTTTAGTCTCATGAGTATTGCTATGTTTATCATATTATATCTAAATATTATATCCTCATATGTATATATGTGTGTGTGTGTATGTATGTGTGTATATATATATATATATATATATATATATATATGTATAATACATATGTATAAGAAAAATAACCAAACCAAACTCACTACCATTGAGTCCATTGCGACTCATAGCAACCCCTCCTTGGTCGGTTTGAACCACCAGCCTTCTAGCTAGCAGTCAGATGCCTTAGGCACTATACCCCCAGAGCTCCTGTATGTATAAGAGATGAGCTTTTATTGAACTTGACACATTTTTAGCAAGAATGTTGGTGCATGCTCAATTTGAAGATACCACAGGTCACGTCTCTGTTTAGCAAGCACCGAAAGGAACACTTACACTCAAGTATCGGTTCTTTAGGCGGTAGCTTTTGGGATTATTGTTTATTTTAAGTTGTTTAATTATTTCTTCATTGCTGATTTAATGGAAATCTAACTGAAACACATTTCTCAGAGGCATTTTAATAGAGTTTTGTATTTTTGTTTTTTCAAGAGTAAGTAGAAAGTGTACTTGGGTTTAGATTATATCATTCTCTTATTCAGTGAAATCCCCTTGCTTTAGGGGAGAAGCAGAAGACATTCATTTAAGCTTGAAGGTCATTTCTTGTCTGGTTTGCGTAGGGATGAATTCTCTGGCACACCATGCTTCCCAACAGTAAGGAAAGGAGAGCTGGGGCTGCAGGTTTCTCTGTAGGCCTCCTGGGAGCAGGGCTGCTGTTTGTCAGTGTTTGCACCTTCATGAGCAGTGAAGGTTGGCTTAAACAATGCTGATCAACTCAATTCTATTCTTTACTTCCCTGCCCCCTTCTCTTCCAGGGGATCTGCCTTTCCTGTCACTCAGGATAATGATTCCTTGCAAGCATCACTGAGATCCAGAAAGTCTCAGTAATCTCATCAAGAGTGTGATTCCCCAGCTGGGGACCCTTGAATTTCTACTGCCCGAAGTAGCTGGTCAGGGTACTTAACACTCCACTGGTCAGGGCACTTAACACTCCGCATTGGTATGCTGAGCTCCTGCTCCATTAAAATAAAAGTCTCCCTATGAAGACAACCACATTATTGGGTTAGAATTAGGGAAGATATGCCCTCAAATTAGCAGACTTAATCGGAAACCTAGAAATTAATCTGTATTTTAACTATGAGGACAGTGTTGCTCCACACATCACAGTGAAAAGAATCCTATCCAGGCATAAGGTAAATTTTCAGTGAGCCTAATGAAAATTGAGAAAGGAGTTTGATAAACATTTTTTGGTATGGGACACTAAGGACTTGTGTTACCTTTTTCCATCCTAAAATAAAACTATTAGAGGAATATCAATTCAGATTTCTGATGAATGTCTTGATAATTCATTCTAATTAATAGACAAGTGGTTTCCCTAATTTTTCTTACTTATTTATTAGTATTTTGTTGATTTCCACCCTACTGATTTTTGGCTTCCATGACCTCAAAGATCTTAATATGAGGAAGAAATCATTTTTTAAATATGCTTTCATGCTTACCTTCTCCTTTCCCCTGCAGCAATGAATAGTCCATATTCTTATATCAGGAGATACATAATGGTCTTAATATACGCATATGTACCCATTACTGTGTGATTTTGTGACAGATCATGTTAGTGTGGAAAACCAACTCTTTGCTTTTCTCATATTTTCAAAATTCAGTTATTTTTTAGTGCTAACAAGCATTGAGAAGTGATTATCTTTTTTTTTTTTACAACAGTGACCTTTGACATTAAGTGCCATTTTATAAAGTTTGCTTTCCTAGATACTGAAAATAAAATTGAATACTTGAAATGGGAGCACAGCAAAAACAAAATTGAAAAGGAATTTAAAAAGGTATCTAAGACTAAGGGCTTCATCTCATTTTTTTTTTTTTTTTAAAAAAGGAGCACTGCATATATATTTTTTGTTTATATTCATAAACATATATGTTTATCAAGATACAAGTTTATATAAGCATGTATTTATGATCTTGTTTCCAGTTGGCATCTGAGCATGTGTTGGCATTGCAGTGTTATATACTATATACGTAAATGTGAATATATATGAATATATATGTTCATGTTTATTTTTCATATATGAATCTGTAGTCATGGGTTTTTAATTTCATAGTTATGGTTGGATCTAACTTATCTTGTTAAAAAATGACTACATTCATGTGAGTATGCATATTTATATAAAATTTATTCTTACTTGGCATCAAGCCTCAAGTTAGCATCTGGTATAAATTTCTAAGTTTTCATTTACTATGTGTGTGTGTGTGTAAAGTGTGGATATTAAAATAAATGTCTTATGTTTTTTTTTTATTATTTTATATAGTTCATTTAATAAATACTAAATAAATGTAATCAGGATATATAAGTATTAAGTGTATAATTCAAAAGTAATTTTAGAAAGTAGTAAAGAAATTTTTCTTACCAAAAAATCAAATGATTAGAATGCATGTATGGGTAGTGAGTTTGGAGAGGTGAAAACAGATTTAATTATGAGGAGTTAAAAGTAAACTATTAATAATATTATTGCTGTTTTGAAGAGAGGATTAGACCTTCTTGTATGACTTTTTGAAAATATGCCACAAGTGAAATGTTTTTGTATATATATGTATATATATACACACAAGTTTGTATCAGATGAATTATAGAATGTGATTAGCTTGTTCTTAAAACATTCATTTGAAATTAATTTTATATTTTTTTGGCTGTGAGGACATATACAAATTATCCTCACAGCCAAAACAAAACATAAAATTAATTTGAAAATGAATGTTTTAAGAATAAGCTAATCATATACTATATTTAATATATATATTTAATGTAGATATTGAAAAACTTGGTTTTCCAAAATTGTTATTTTATTCATCTAAGTATCTTATTGATATCTTAATCAATTTGTACACTTTTATTCTTAAGGTATGATACTACAATATTATTGTTGTTGTTATGTGCTGTTGAGTCAGACCCAACTCACAGCGACCCCTCCTTGGGTTTCTATAATAGAACTATGCAAACCAACTAATTCATGTTTGGGGAAGTAAATAAAAGCTAACCTCCATTATTAAAGAATGTTTATAACTTCTCATGTATTTTCTAAAATATAAAATTTGTTTTTGAATATGAATTTAATAACATTCATGCAAACATACCAATTTGTGTATTCTTTATCCTTAGTAGCCATCTTATGATCTGCATAGGTTTGTTGTACTGATCTAGGGAATATGATCAACTGTAGGGAAATATAGCTTGAGCTTATTGTTTCTTATATACATTCAGTAAAAAAAACCAAACCAAACTCACTGCTGTCTAGTTGGGGCTAACTCATAGCGACGCCTCCCTGGGTTTGTGACGTGATATCACTACTCAAGTGGATTGTCTAACCTTCCTTCCAAAGAGTGGGTGGTAGGTTTGAACCACCAGCCTTCTGGTTAGCAGTCAAATGCCTTTGGCACTACGCCACCAGAGCTCCTATATATTCAATAGTTACTCATATAGGACTGTTTTAAGTAAACCATGAGAATTAATGTAGTAGAATAGGGTAAGGCATTTGCAAGAAGGATTACTGGATATGAATAACCCCCCCAAAAAACCCAAACCCACTGCCATTTAGTCTATTTCAACTCATAGCAACTGTCATTGGGTTTCCAAGGCTGTAAACCTTTATTGAAGTAGATTGCCTCATCTTCCTCGCATGGGGCAGCTGGTGGGTTTGAACTTCTGACCTTCTGGTTAGCAGCCAATCACCTTACCCACTACTCCACAAGAGCTCCTTACTGAATATATCGAGGACAATCCAATAACTTAAGTTCTGTCTATCTAACAAAAAGCCCATAGTAACTGTAAGCTTCTTGTTAAAAAGATTGTTCATATTTTTGGTGCTAGCTTGTTATTACTTTGGAGACCATTTATAGATTTTTATGGTACAAAAGGACAGTTATGTTTTATTCAGTATGATTGGTTCATATCAATTTGTTTCATATTTATGACATTACTTATTTGAAAATGAAGACATGTTTTATCATATTATTTTGTCAGTATAATTCTCATTATATATAGGACTATGTTCAACATTTAGTAATTGATGATTGATAGAGGTACAATTGATTGCTTACTAGTAGTTTTCTTGTTGAATCAGGAATCATTCAATAGTATTTGTTACCTGTCATTAAAGAAACTTTCCAGATAAAGAAATTACTTCACTAAATTCTGAACAACTACCTTATGTTGCATATGTGTGTGTTCTGAATTTGAACAGAAAAAGAGTGGTCTGAATTTCATAATTTTTTTTGTTACATTGCTGTTAGTATGGTTAGAGATAGCATCCCTGGGTGGCACCAGGCTAAGCACTCAATTATTAGCTGAAAGATTGGTAGTTGGGATGCACCAATGGGCACTTCAGAAGACATTTCTGGCAATCTGCTTCCAAAAGATGACAGCCTTAAAACAGTGTGGAGTAATTTTATTCTGCACACAATGGATCTACATGAGGCAGTCATGAGTAGGAAACAACTCAGTGACAACTAACAATAACGATGTGGTTAGAGATGGAATAATTCACATACGGTCATTTTAACTGCCCACAGTTCTTTTATCTCTTACTTACACTGAAGACTACGTACATAGCTGATTATATGCTGACTTCTCTCCTACCATTGGTTAATAGTTTTAACTTCCCCCATTTCCTACATTTTTTAGACCAATTTTTAAGAATCAGTATATTCAATAAATTAACATTAAAGTCAATATTCTAATTTTTTATAATGTTTGAAGCTTGAACAATATTTATTAAATGTTGAGACATATGAGTCATTATGTTGTATATTGCTGACTAAAAGTATTGCCGAAGTGTAAAGGAAAAAAATTGCATTTTATATTGACATGGAAAGAAAACTTAACTTGTTTTCTCACTCCTTTTTTTTTTATAGAGAACACCTGTTCCCAGCGCTGAAGCATTCCGGTGGTTCTTTTAAAGCAGTAGTATATCTTATTTTCAAGGCATTTGGAAGTGAAGGGCAAATTAATGTTTTGTTTTAAGAAACTGCTTAGATCACCACTGAAGAAAATATCCAGATATTATTTTCATTTTATGTATAGGGGTTTCTTCAGAAAAAAAAAAAAAAAGGAAAAGAAAAAAGATGCGGAAAAATAACCTTGGATTTTGGGGAATTGGCCAGTCTATTTACTTTCAGTACACTGATTCTTTGATGTAATTTAGAAATACTAGTGAAGTTGTTGTCTATTTTGAAAGTGGCTGTAAAAAATAAGTTTGGGTAAACCCCTGCTGTAAAATCATGTATCTTTGCAAAGTACATATCTATACTTCATTTTCAAATATATGTGTTTCAGTACTGTAAACTGTACAGATAGCAGCTTGTATTTTGTGTGTTTAGACACAAGGAGACAATCATGTCTGAGCATCTATGGAGATTAACAGTTTGTACACAACAGTATGGTTCTGCGAGTTAAATCTGGAGCAATAAATTTTAGCTTTAAATATTTTTTTGCCAGTTGTTTCTAGAAACAGCAACAGCAGTGGCACTGTTTTGCCTTGCATCTTTCCTTAGAGACTTGATGCCAAGTTCTACAAGATTAAAAGAGTATGATGCATCCAGCAATCACCTTCAGTTGTATTGTTATAAAAGGGGAAGATGTTATGAAAGTTTAAATTAATCTTTTGAGCACTATATTAGAGTAGTGGTTATGCACTTGCATTGCTTACAAATGAGCTGTACAGAAGGGTATACCTCCCAGATACTTAGTGTAGTTGATTTGTCTTGGATTGCACTGTAAGGCGGAGTACTCAGAGTAGTTGGAACATGCAGAATCAGTTGTGTAAATTTTAAAAAAATAAAGTGTTTTCTAGGATACAGAACAAATAAAGTATCAGATTTTAGGGAAAAAAAATTCATGACTGTCTTTTTTTCATGGCTCAACATGGGCTCTATGTGTTTTTTTGTTTATTTTTTTCTTTTTTTGATTAAATAAAAAATAAAAATGTAGCATATGGCAATGCTTTAATTCCGTGTATGATATTATATGGCTACTTTTGTTTTAAAATTTAAATACATCAAGGCCTCCTGCATCAAGGCATGGCTTGGTATGTTTTAAAGTTATAAAGAATTACACACATGCATAAAAGTGAAGCTTTTGTTTCTTTAAATCTTTCTTTGTCTTAGTTTACCAGTTGAACTAGTGTACTTCTACCTAGCCCCTCAGTGGAATGCTACATTGTCCCTGTTCTTGTCACCAGATGCTTTCATTCCTAAAAAGGTAGGGCCACCATTTGTGGAGTTCCATAAATCAAGACAGCCCAAAACACAAAATATCCATGATTCATAGGACATGGGTTACCTTTTCATGTAGGTTTTTTTTTTTTGTAGCAGTCAGGGTTCTCAAGGCTGTCCCTTTAAGACAAATGTTATTAGTGATGATATGCTACCTTAGCATTTTATTTCATTTTATGCCAGATGATAAAGACTAGTTTCAATTTCAGGAGTGAAAAAGAGTTCATCAAAAATACAGAGAATTGCACTTGCCAAGCCACTTAAACTCTTTGTCCTTCATCAGCTAGCCAGTTATTTTATTCTATCAGCCTATGGGGGATAAGCGGTAAGTGTTAGCAAAATGGATCATGAGAAGAAAAATAATTTAAGAGAAAGGATGATAGAACAATGGAGAGGACTTTGAAGTTTTACTAAGACCAGAAGATGGATATTTTTAAACAACCAGTTGTAGTTTTGAATGGGAAATAATGTGACAGAGATTTTAAAAAATGAGGAAGAAACATTCCATTAGAGTATTGTGGGCAACGGTGGATAAGGCACTTGTAAATCCAATGTGAAAAACAAGTATAAATTAACTTTATTAGAGTATGAAAGAAAAATCTACAGTTAAGGTCAAATAAATAGCCTTTTGAGGAAAGTCCATTATGTATTATGCCCATCCAGGTTTCCAGAAGAGATTTAAATAACCAAGAATTAAAATGTGATGTATATTAATTTTGATATAGCTTTCCACTTGGTGTATATTCCTTTGAAGCTTTCTAGTTAGGATTTCTATTCTACTTTGGGACCAATGAGAACTGAATGAGTTTATTCTTGTTTCATTTTTATTTTATCGTATTTCACTTTTTTTAAAAAAAACCTATTTGCTAATTAATTACAAGTAAGTGAAAATTTATTTTCACACTTGAATAGTAAACTTGCCTTGCATTTTGGAAAATGATTGTTATTACAGAAGTGAAACAAACTTTTATTCAGGCTATATTAGGCATATAGTAACATAAAGATTTTATAGCAATGTATCGAGTCTAAAATACATGCTAATTTTGCATGTCTTGCTGTGGTTATGTGTTTTTGTTTGTTTTCTTAAAGAATTAATGAATCTGTATATTGTAAAATGTGGTGTTTTACATGTCAGTTTAATTTTTTTTACAAAAGTGTTGATTATTCAATTTGAAAAATGTAGCTTTTCTTTCATTCTCATATGTTTTTATTCTTGATATTGTTCTTTTACACTACCCATTATTTTATATTTTTGGTAATACTCTATTTATATATTGTAGGGTGCGTATAAAGTTCTCGTTGGTGATGTTTGAAGAAAAAGATTACTCTTCCAGCCTCCCTCTAGTTCCCTTCCCCATATGTCCATATACTGAAAACTTGCAAAGCATATTATTATAACCCTTAGGAAGAGATATGAAAGTTTACATGTCTCAAGATTCTAAGATACCAATAAGATGGAACTTTTAAACATTCCTCACTGTCTTATATTCAGTACTAAGAAGATAACAAAATATAAATTGTGTGAACCATCTATACAATTTTTTTTTTTCAATTATCTGTCAGACAAGCAGAATAAAAAGAAAAACTTTCTAAGGAGGCCCACATTCACGGGATCTTGTCTTCTCTAAGTGTGGAAGATGCCAAACCCTGTCAGCATTTGAGGAAAGTATGGAACATACTGTGGGCATTGGTACATAATGCAGTGGGGCAGTGGGCCAATTACCTTTTCAGTGGTCACTTAGTGTTCTAACATTGCAAGAATATTGTAATGCAAACCTATCTTCCCAGGTCTTCAGACCAAAGTGGCTTTCTAATGGATTCTGCTTGTCTGAGTACAAGAGGTGGCACATTCACAAAGCAGAAATGTGTCCATTCTTGGGAGAGAAAACAGTGATAGTCTTCCCCTAGTATAAAAGTATGTACAAAATTAATTAATTCCCAACACCCAACTTCTTCCTCTAAACACATAGGAAGCAAGATATCGAAGACTTACTAAGCAATCCTGAAAGAAAGGCATGTCCCCTTCCTTGTACAGTTAACACTAAAGCATGTAAACTCTTCAAGCTGCTGGTATCTGTAATCAAATAATGGAAAAAAGAAAGCAGTTAAATGAACACACTATTCAGGGTCAAATATGTTCAGCAAAAAGCTGCAGTGGGTCTTTGATCATGGTTAGATTCATAGTGATATCAAACAGTTGGTTCTCATGTAGCAGCTAAATATTTCAGATTTTGTTTTTATTAAATTTGTCAGTTTCACACAGAGATCTGTATTCCTAGTGAATAAAAAAACAGCTACTATGTTAAGAAGGATTCCATTTTCACAATTGCAAGGGAATTGGGGATATTTCAGGAACTTGGACCACAAAATGTACTCCTTTCACAGTGTTCTCCTATTCCTGAACTGTGCAGTTATCTATTAAATTTTCTAATAGATATTTGTGTAAGGTGTATGTATGCTTGTGCAATTATTTAAAAAGCAGTTTTGGAAAACAGTGTATTTATTAAAAAAAAAAAATTATGGGGCATGTACAAAACTGTAAAAAAAAAAAAAAACTAAAAAAACAAAACAAAAAAAAATACCACATTCAATTTGCCCAGTAAAGTTGTTTTTGTGAAATTTCTGTGTTGTTGAATAAAGGACTTTAGTATTCAAAATATCTCTATTTTTCCATGGACAAATTTTATTTGTGGGCTTTTAAGTAATGAGTATAGTATGCTGAATTTTTTTATAATAAGAAAAAGGTTATAATACTGTACTGGCCCTTATGCCAGTCGAATGAATGTTGTACATGCATTTTTCATAAAATATGCAAGTGATGTTCATTTTTTTTCTACTACAAAAATCTTTGTCATATACTTAGAGGAAGGAAAACAAGATTATGATTCTTTTCACACTTCTAAAGGATGTATTTTTGTTGAAACTTTAAAGTCACATAAATAGAGAAAGAATTGAATCCACCCAAACTTTTCTCTTTCCCTCTCCATCATAGTGTGCCAGAAGAAAAAGAAAATGATGCATTCCTTGTGCCATGAATGAAAAGTCCTGGTTATGATATTTTAAAACATTATTGTGCATGAAGAAATGTTGCAACACTGACATTCTGTCTTCAGCTGCTTTCTAGAAAGGCTCTGAGATTAAAATTTTATTTGTTCCTTTCTAATTATGGACTAGTGCAGTCCACAAATGCTGCTTATTACTTCTTGATGATGAATGTGCTTGACCGTTATTTCACTGCTATGCAGTACAAAGATCTAATATTTTCAATGCCTCATAAACTGCAAGAAACATAGGATACAGTTTTAGATCTTGGAAATCATGGAACTTCAAACAATTGAAATGTTTGTTGTCTATAAACTGCAATGCCCCACTTAGAAGATTTTTATACATTTTATAAAATTTAGGATGTGTTCTGTTAGCATAATATCACCCATATAAAGTATCTTGGCCATGAAAACAGAATTGGAGTATTTAGGGTGAGAATGAAAAAGTAAGTACTTTAAATAAGAGGGTTTCTGGATACTCAGCAATTTTTCAGGTAAGTAACTATGTCATTTTGTTATATTTTTGCATAAGCAGCAGCAATATGGCACATGGATAAAACTAGATTTTCACAGATAATATTTTCCTTACTTGAAATCTATAAGAAAAACAATACTTGAAGGGTCCTATATAATGATGAGAGTGCAAATCGTCAATACCCTTTGAAGAAACACTCCCCAAAAAGAGGGGAAGTGGGGAGAAGTTCTATAACTTACTTCAACATTGAGCAAGGTAGTAATTTCATATGGTTTCTCCAAAAGCATGTGCTTCTTCCAGTG